TCTGCACTGAGCACAGCAAAGTGCTGCCTTTACCTTCTCATGACTGTCATTGGCGGTCATCAACATGGTTGCTTGGCTACCTTTTGATTTCCCATTTGGTGAATGTTTTTGCAGGTCATATTTCTGTACAGAAGTCTAGCCTCATCAGTGCTACTTCTTGCTTCCAAAGCAGAAAACAAGGTCCTGGCTAGAGTCTGAGAAAGGATATGCTACACTTGGCCATGCTGTCTCATTAGATAACTGCTTTGGTTTTAGAAGCCCTCTGCCAGTTTTCTACCTTACCTACCATCCTTCTGTAGGTGGCTTTTGATCAGCCTGTCTTATTTGCCAGAGACCCTGAGTGGTGGAGTTACTGCACTTGGCTGCTGCCTAGGTTAGAGGTTTGGCACATCCGCCCAGATGTGTGTCAGAAGAGTTTTACCCACCACAAACAGCAGCAGACTAAAGAGTCATGAAAACACTGTGGAACCAACATAGGGTCTTGATGAGTTGGAGTTGAGTTGACAGCAATTGGTTGATGTTATTTGTCTCTGATTTGCCTTGGGAAAATATTTCCAGGAAAGATTTAAGCATGATCTTAATACTGCTTGGATGATCAGAACAGTATTTCTGGATAAGGTGATCCTTGTGCCCCTTGACCAGTTTCTGATGAGTTCATTATCAAGATGTGCCCTTGGACTTTCGTGCGAAAGGAGCTAAATTACAGAGATGTAAAGGAACCTGGAGACATCTGTGGTTATTGCTATAACCTGTAACCTGAAGAGGAAAAAACTACGTCTTGTTATTATCGGTCTACTTTTAGTAGCTACTTCCGTAGTCAAGACACGGGCAGGGCACAGCCACCGTTTTGTCTGTGCGGGTTTGTTGTCATAGTGACCCATGATCAGAATGAAGCAGTTCCTGATCCTTAGACATCTTCACAATTGTTGATGTGCTCAAGCCCATTGTTGTGGCCACTCTCTATTTTCAGTGCCTTCCCTCGTGGCTTAGGGGTTATGTGCTGGGCTACTAACTGCAAGTTCAGCAGATCGAGACCACCAGCTACTCTGGGGGAGAGAGATGGGACTTTTCTACTCTCATAAAGAGTTCCCTCTTGGAAGCTCACAAGGACAATTCGAACCTGCCCTACCGGGTCCCTATGAGTCAGCATAGACGTGCTTTCCTTCCTAGTCTGTTATAGTTTGGAGACTTAGCTGAAACCTGTCCACCATTGATGACCCTGCTGGTATTTTAGGTCCTGCTGGTACAGCTAGCCTCCAGTCTCATAGCAGCTTCAAAGCCACCACATTACCACCAACTAAAAGATGGGTAGTAGTCGTGTCTGTTGAGAATCTTCCTTGAATCCTCACTAGGAACTTAAAGGACTCATGAGTGAGAACGACGGGTGGAGTCCTCTGTTCCATCCTCTACCTCGTCATCATTTGTGTTCCTTATCTGTTTGGTGAGGGAGTCTTTGAGTGGTTGAATTTGCCCAAAGTCTTCCCAAGCTTTACAGTCTAGAGAAAACCACCAGCCAGGAAGCTTCTGGGAAGAGCACTAGGCAGGGCAGAGCTTCCTCAGCCTGCACCACTTGTCTGTGCTCTGTGACTGGGGACAGCCAGGGATCTAGTTCTGTCTGCTGTGGTCATGCTTGTGACCAGGGTGTGATTCCAAGGGCTGCGGTGGCCGCCGGTGATTGCCTCCGCATTGATGGAGGGTTGGTACAGTGCAGGAGTAAGCAAGGCTCCGCTTTCCTCTCAACGAGTCTCTCAATTCCTCTCTCCCCTGGCCCCATAATGCAGTCCAGAGGAGGTGCCGAGATGATTAATGAGAAGAACATAAAGACAAGTGCTGCCAGAGCAACAGCTGTCTCCTACCATCCACTGAATAATTAGATAAATGAGGCCAAAATGGGCGCTCGCTCAGTGAGGACTGAGGTGCAGCAAGAGTGAGTACCCTTCCAAGTACTGGACCAGGGCTTCGAACCTCCCTCCCTCCACTTGGTCTGTTTCTTGCGTTTTCCACCATCCACTGCCACCAGGTCTGCCATTGGGAATGAAGCAGCCCTAGGAACGCTGCCTGGGTGCACTGACCACCGTCTGGCCCCGCCAGCCAGCGCAGGAGGGAGGGAAGAGATGGAGGAGACGTTGCCAAGGACCCGGGCAGCATTTATTCACAAAAGCTGAGCTTCTGGCGCAAAGTCTGGGGGACTTTCTTGTTCACAAGTGTTATCTTCCGAGCACTTTAATGAGAAAGGATTGAGCAGGAAGTTGAGGGCCGGGCTAAAGGAATAATGGCACGAAGGAAGTGAAGCAGAAAAACCTAATTTCCTTCCTTAAGGGGGAAAAGAAAATCTCCATTTATTTAAATGAATTACGAAGAAAAGAAAGTAGCCTGGCATTTCCCCCAGCCAGAGTCCAATGGGTTTTTAAAGAGCTGTGTTTCTCCCTGGCCAGACCAAGAGCCGGGCTCTGCAGCGTATCTGCAGAACCTGAACTGCGGGCCATGGAACCTCGTTAAGATGCACCGGCGTTCCTCCTGGACAAATGACTTACTAACTCAGCCCCTTCTCTCCTGCTTCTCAGTGTAGGTCTTTGCCTCGCTTCACTCATATTTTAAATTCAGCACCTCTAGCTGCCCAGTGATTGCATGTGGAACAGGGAAATCGAAACGCAACGGACCCTGTGACTCCATCAGTTCTGCCTGGCATTGCAGCAGAATCCAGGCTAGGAAATTGGCGTGCAGGACGCCGGCAGTCCAGCCCCCGACCAAGAGCTGCAGCTTGAATGTGCAGCATTCAACAACTCTCAGCACCCCTGCTGTCTTCCTGGGACACAGCGATAGAAATGAATGGAAGTGCAAGGCGACTGTCGAAATTTCACAGTGAACAAGAAAATGGCATGCAGCCCGACGCAGGAGTTACGGCTGGTCATGCAATGACCGTGGTTTCATGGTGTTTTACTGAGAGGAGTCTTGCTGGGCCCTGTGCTTGACAGCCGGCTCTGTGTCTGGTGCTGGATTTGCTCCATGATAGCCTGTTTGTGCCTCGTGGTGCTGAGTCCAGGGCGAGAAGGTCTATTCAGCTTATCCTTGGCACGGTGAATGGGACCTGCTCGGCTCTCGTGATCTGGAAGGAAGCGAGTATAGGCAGGGGGGAGGCAGAAAAGCAGGATGGAGCCCACTGTGTGCTCAGTGCCACCGTCTCAGGTCACAAGTTAACACACTGTGTTCCCACCACAGCCCCGTGAGGCCGGCACTGCTTTTCTTGAGAGAAATGAGGCACAGGGAGGGGTGATGATGTATGGGAGGCAGCTGTCGTCATTGTGGACAAATTGGGAGTCAGACAGAAGAAGATCCGGACCCCATCTCTACAACCCCAAGCTCGGTGTTGTTGGTACAATCCTGGAGCATCTGTAAGCCAGTTTTTGCTTCTATAACATGCAGACCAGCCTGCTCCAGAAAGACTGTTGTAAGGATCAAGTGCCCAGGACATGGCAGGTGTCATTCTGTGCCGCCCCAGTGGGAGCACCATGAGTAGAAGCCAGAGAGGACTTCTGGGGCCAGCCCCACGCAGCAGCACTCAGCCCTGGGGGCCACCGGTGAAAGCAAGTCAATGCCATCAAGTTGACGCTAGCTCTTGGTCACCTCACTGTGCACCACAGGGGTTTCCGTGGCTGGTTTTTCAGAAGTCGATTGCCAAGTTGTGGTCGTTACATAATTTCATGTCAACGTGAAGCTATATAAAAGTATAGGGGCGTCAATACCCCTATTGGAGTTTGGCCTGTCAATCAAGCCACAGCCTGATGACCTCACTTGGAGGTGCAACTGAGATATATAGCTCTCTGGAGGCAGCCTCCCTCTCTCTGCCCTCACTTTCCTGCTTGGGGGCCACTCTGAGAGTTGCCAGAGACTTGCAGTGTTACTACCGCCATTGAATCCACACCGCTTTTTTATTTGAGGTGCTGTCAGCCATCCAAACATGAGGGTTGTTTTGTAAAAAAAAAAAAATTTAAATACATAGCTTTGAAAAACAGTTCCATTTTTATGTACATCCCCTCGTAGACATGCAGGATTTACCATGATCATATTACCAAAATGATCTGTTTCTATGCCAACCTGCTAGTCTGTGTACATATAATGTGTTTTTGTATCCCTGATACTTAGCTGACATGTAACTGAACTAGCAACATAGAAGCCAAGGGCTGGGGGAAGAGCCAAGGCCGTCTGTAATAGAGGCCATTAGCCCCCAGGCCTGGGTGTGTGGGGCTTTAGCTGATATCCAGCTGCCTTCGGCCTCCAGAGCGGCCTGTTTCCATATGCACTGGCGAGGCAGTGAGGTTCTTGTTAAATGACTCAGAAGGTGGGGGAAAGGTGTCCTGCCTACCGTTTCCTGCCGAGATGCGCTTGCATTCACGAAGATGACAACTGGTATATACTCCATTAATGGGATTGCAAATAACATGTTTCGAACAAATCTTTTATCCCTGTTGCCCCTTGGGACGCATTTCAAATGCTGACCATTAAAAACAGGCCATTTCACAGCCCTCTAATGATGACACTGCCAACTGTGGACGTTTGTCTCCAAGACTCCTGATGAGCTGGGGCGAGGAGTAAATTACGGAGCTCACTTTTATGTGCATGCTTTATTGATCTGTGAGCTTCGAGGGAACTGCGCCAGCCCCGATAGCACGGCAGTCCAGATTACCTTTACATCTATGTAATTGGGCCACCAGGGCACAGTTAGTTTTCAATTTGTACTAATAGGAAGACAAAGAGCAGGGTGTGTCATCCCTGTATTAAAGTGGGAGATCCATCGACATACTTTACCTGGTAATTATAAACATGTCAGTTTTCCCAGGATCCTCCAAGGATCATGCTGCATTCCTTCATAATTCATCATGAGAAAATTCAACGCGCCTGTGTATATCTGTGTCTCCAGAGCACGTAAGGGCACTCCATCATAAACTGCTCCAACAATCGTAATCCACAGGGTTTCCCTACCTTTGTTTCTTCACAGGTGAAAGTCATGCTTCGAATCTGTTCCACGTTGGCTCGAGATACCTCAGAATCCAGCTCCTTCTTAAAGGTGGACCCACGAAAGAAACAAATCACGTTGTATGACCCACTGACTTGCGGAGGTCAAAATGCCTTTCAAAAGAGAGGAAGCCAGGTCCCGCCAAAGATGTTTGCCTTTGATGCCGTTTTTCCACAAGATGCTTCCCAGGTGGGTAGAAAACTCTTAGGCTCGGGGAGTTTTTGCTGAATTTAAGGGTTTTCACACCTTCACGAGTACCTGTGAGCTGGGAGGGCATCTTCTGACGCCTGTGCTAACGTAGTCCTTCATCTACCCAACGACTTTCAGGAGCTGGTTGGAGCACCATTGCACAGTCTAGCCATTTTGAATGGCTGATTTCACACATTGGGCAGTATCAGTGTGTCCTGGAGACACAGAAGCAGAAAAACCGCAGTCCAAATGGGACCAGGAATGTGTCCCAGTGCAGGGAGGTTGGTTCCCCAACCCCATTCCTGCCTGTGTTGCTGGGTATGTGTGAATAAGAAGGGAGAGTCACTTTCAGGTTAGAGTTAGGCAGGGTCTTAAGGCTCCTTATAAGCACAGTGGGATTGAGGTCAGGTCTCTAGATCTAGTGAGAAAATGGAATGCTAGACAGCAAAACTGGAGCTGGTATTTAGCCCTGTGGCCCGGATCAGTGGGATGGAGCGGCAGGAGAGAGACAAGGGAATAGCTAGTGTATCAGTTAGCTATTGCTGCATTACAAACCACCCTAAAACTCAGCAGCCTAAAACAGTAAGCATTTATGATTGTTCATGAATCTATGAGTCAACTGAGCAGTTATTCCTGTACCGTATGGGCTCATGTACATGGTGATCATGTATGTTGGCTAGGTGGCTTTGCTCGTCTTGGCTCTTGTGATCACATGTCCAGGGATTCGCCAGCTTGGGGCTGGTTTAGAATAGCCCTGGATAATATAACGTGACTCTCTTCCACATTGTCTCTCATCATCCAGGAAACTATAACTTTGGGTCAGTTCTTATATCAATGACAAGGAGCATTCACAAGCCCTAACTCAGGGATAGAAAGGATAATCTCTCACTGGGAAGGAGACGTTTCAAAGTTACATCAAAAGAGGCACACACACAGGCAGAGGTAGAGAATTTGGGCAATGTTGTGAGTCAGCAGAGACGACAGTTTGTTAGTTACATGGGGACCCCAGGTATTGAAATTCCTGATCAATTACATCCTCTACCAGATATTGCAGCTGAATCAAACAATGCCTGTTTCTTGGAGGGGTGGGGGATGGGGAAGGGATGTGAGTCTAACGCTGACTGAGTGCAGAAATGAGTCAGCCCAGTAACACGTGAACAGTGACTTAACTCCATCTGGGCCTCAGACAGGTGAACGTTCAGAATAAATGTCTAATACCTCCCCAAATTTATATACAGTATGGCAACAAATAAGAGCTTATTAACAAAACCTGAGGATAACTGTGCAAATAGCCACCAGCTGCAACTTCTGTTCATTTCATCCACATTGCTTCCGAGTGAAGGAAGTAATGATGTTCACAGACTCCTATATTGCACCGTGGACATTTGCACATATTATAGGCTTCATTCATGAGGAAACCGATGGGGTGGTTTTCCCCAAAGTGTTTACCCAGAGAAGGCCAAATATGAATAAGGTCAATCGTTTCTCCATTCATTGGGACTTTCTCGGGTAGAGTGCCAGGCATCGGGCTCAGTAATCCACATCTGACATCAGATCTAATAAATGGCCTAAGGGTTACATAATTAACAGAGTTCAAATTTTCAGAAACAAATTTCCATACATTGTATGAGTCCCAAACCATGTCCTAAATTAAGCAGGGACTCTTAACGAGTTTTCGATTGATTCCAGAAAAGTGGTCCTTTGCATACATTTCTATAGCTCAATATGCCCAGTACCCATCTGGGAGCAGTTTCACTTATTTCATCATGTTTTACTTAAAAATATGTTTTCCCAATAGTAAAAGAAACACATAATTTTTTTCATTTTCAATCCATTTCATATACATTAACCCATTTGACTCTTGCTACATGCTGTGAAATACATACAGGAAAGAGGGTATTCTGCCTTACCAAGAAGGTAATGTCAACTCAAAGATTAAGTCATTTGTTCCTGGCCCTGTCTTGAGTAGACACCTTTCCCCCATTCTTCCGCTTGCTCTCCGTTCATGCTGCTTGGTTTGACATCTACCCTGCTGACCGGCACTGTGCCCCTGATTAGTCAGGTAACCTCTCGGGAACCTCATCTAAAATATGCCGTGTCAGTTGCTGTGATTCTTTGAGTTACTGTACTGGAGGCGTTAGAAGAGAACCCAGATAGACTAAATGCCCAATACACGTGAGCTGGGATTGCTATTATATCTTTTCATTGTTGTTGGCACGTATCAAGTTGGGCCCCTGACTCCTGGCATCCTCCTGCTCAGTGGGATCAGACTATTATGGTCCAGGGGCTTTGTATTAGCTGATATTCCCCTTTCTTTCAACTCTGGAAGCACTGCCAACACCAGCACATAGCATCACAGCAACACACAGGCTCCCACCAACAGAAATGTGGTGCGTGCACACACGCTATATTGACCCAGAATTAGACCTGGGCTGGGTATCGCCCATAAAAGGTGAAAATTCAACCGTTGAAACCCTGCTGCTGTTGGACACGACAGCATCCACCCCATGGAAAGGGATGCCCTTTGAGCCCCCAAGCGGGAAAGTGTATGGCGTGGGCCTCTGCTCTCAAGTCCTTGCGGATGGTCTATGAAGCAGTAGTCTCCGCAGTGGACTGGGGTGATTAGGAGTTATGCTTTCTCACAGTGTCTAAGGACATTAGCTTCCTGCAGCTGACCAATGATCTAACTACTCCTTATTCCTCCCCACCCTTATGAGTGATCCTCGTTAGCCGTAAGAGGTCTTGGCAGTCATTAGCTGCCCACTGCTGGGGCAAACCTGTGTTTGTGGGAGGACTGGTAGGGAGACCTCAGACGGCAGCTAAGCAGAAGCCTCCTTACCCACGGACTCTTGGGAGAAGCAACACACTTCTCCAGGCTTCCAGGGCCCTCCCTCCCTGTTCATGGGTTGCATTATGCCTCTGGAATACGATTCACTGAAGTCCTAACCCCTGATATCTGTGAGCCTGCCTTGTTTGGAAACAGAGTCTCTGAACGTATTATCAGTTCATGTGAGGTCATACGTGAGTAGGGTGGGTCCTAAGTGGTACAGTATCAAAGAAGAGAAGAGACACCGAGTTGGACAGGGGAAGGATGGCAACTTCGGAAGCAGAGGAAAGCCAGAAAACACCCGGGACCGTCAGCAGTCACTAGAAGAGGGACAGAGACACGGGCAGCTTTCCAGAGCCACCGGAAGGGCTTTCCACATTTGAAAGCCCCCAAACTATGAGACCAGTGCTGTCTGTTTCGTAAAGCCACCCACCTGGTGGTATCTTGTTAAGCAGCCCGCCCTGGGATACTGAGACCCCCAAGGTGTCAGTGTTAGCTCCTGTGTTTACAAGGCTGGGCCTCTACAAGATGATGCTGGCCCCCCTCGGGGCCTTTTGAGGCCACCCTCTGTCTGCACCCTCCACAAGCCACTGTACAAGTGGGCCAGTGAGGTCAGTGTAGCCCCCAAAGAGCCTCAGCGATGCTCGCATCGAATCTAGTTTAGTTTATATGTAGCTCAAGGCTCTCGGCCTCCCAGCCCCCATCTCACTTGATGTCCAAAGAGAGCGGAGTCCATCCCACAATAATTTCCCCCACTCCAGAGAGGTGCCTCTGGCAAGTTCCATCAAGATTGTATGTCACAGTTGCGGGGTTTAGTGCCAGCCTGTGACTGCATGGGTCCTGGGGCTTGAAAGATCCCGAGGTCCCCTGGGAGCACTGTCCTGCCATCCCCTTCACCCAGGAGGGGCCCCCCGAGAGAGCTGCTGCGGGAACCAGCAGAACAATCGACAGTTGTTAGGAGTGTGGTTTTTCAATTTGGGTTGGGGAGAGAAAATTGATTTCCGAATTCTTTGGTTCATTGTGCTGCTGAAACCTGGAGCTGAATAACGACATTCATTGCAGAGGCTGCTGGCTTTCAGATCCCACTGGGAGGCACATTGCTCTGGTTCCTGCAGGCAGCAATGTTTGCACAGCCTGTGTGCTTCAGTGGGGTCTGACTCCGACACAGCTAGCCAGCACACAGAATTCTGTCCTCCCGCTGCTGTGCAAGGAGCCCTGGTGGTGCCGTGGTTAAAGTAATGCACTTATTCAACAAAAGGCTGGTGCTTTGACCCCACCAGCCAGCCCATGGGAGAAAGATGTGTTTGCCTCCTTAAAGATTTACAGCCTTGGAAACCTCACGGGCAGCTCCCCTGTGAGTCGGAATTGACAGGCATGACAGCAGTGAGCGTGGGTTGGGTTTGGCTGCTGCGTAAGGCTCAGCTTCTAACCAGCGAGAGAGAGAGATTTCTCAGGTTTCCTCGTTCATCTACCAAATTTATAGAATTATGGAATACTATAGGATTGGGTTACGACTCGAGTGGCCCTTTGTAGTGTTTCAATGGCTTGCGTGTTGCTGCGATGCCAGAAGCTACACCACAAGTCTTTCAAATACCAGCAGGGTCACCCATGGTAGACAGGTTTCGGTGGGATGTCTAGGCTAAGACAGACTGGGAAGAAAGGGCTGGGGTCTAGTTCTAAAAATTAGTCGATGAAAACCTGTAACTTACAACAAGATTGTTCCACTCACTCACTTGGGAGATGTCTTAAGGAGGGGTCTTTGGCTAAAGGAAGACATCCTACCTCTTGAAGAAGAGGACCAGCAGGACTGAGGGGCTTCATGTGAGATGGATCGGCACAAGAGCCGCAACAAAGGGCTGGACCATAGTGGCGATTTTGAGGATGGCTCTGGATTGAGCGGTGTTTCCTTCTGTTGTACATAAGGTCACCATGTGCCTGGCCCTGCTTGATGACCAATATCTATCTTTCTGTTTTATCGGAAATTATGGGGAATCATAACAAAACATCTGAAGACCCCGGTCCCCCTTGTGTTGTCTTTAAGTTCTGTCTAGTAGGTCCCAACTCACGGTGACTTTATGCACAACAGAACAGAACACTCCCCAGCCCTGTGCCATCCTCACCATTGTCACGTTGTCATGCCGGAGCCCATCGTCACAGCCACGGGTCAGTCCATCTGATTGAGGGCCTTCCTCTTGTACATTGGATGTCTACTTTACCAAGCGGTGTCCTTTTCCAGGAGTGAATGATCAGGCTGGATATGGGACACAGCCAACAGCTCAAAGACACTTGTAAGGCACTGAAAAGTGGCAGTTGATACTGGTTGACTCTATCCACAGAGAAAAAAGAGCACGCTAGCTTTCAGAAGAGGAGACCAAGGATTTAGAAAGAGAAAGGCGCTTTGGAGAGAAGGCGACAGAAACTATGTACTTCTTCCTGATGTCATCAGCACTGCAGTGCTTCGCAGGGCATCCTAAAGTAGAACACCACCTCTTCCCAGCTCTATGCCTAGTGCATTTCATATGCTGCATTTGACTAATCTGTAAAGCGTGGTCCTCAAACTACGGCCCGTGGGCCACATGCAGCCCGCCAAGGACATTTATCCGGCCCGCCGGGTATTTTTGCCACGTTTGTTTTTTACTTCAAAATAAGATCTGTGCAGTATGCATAGGAATTTGTTCATAATTTTTTTTTTAAAACTATAGTCTGGCCCTCCAATGGGTCTGAGGGACAGTGAACTGGCTCCCTGTTTAAAAAGTTTGAGGAGCCCTGGCCTAGAGGATGAATGGTCTTAGCTGCTATGACGTCAGCCAAGGTAACTCCTTGTACAACCGAATACAATGTTGCCAGGTGCTGAGCCTGGCCGTAATTGGTTCTACATGGGCTCATTGGTACTCTCATTGGCTGGTTTTCAGCAGTAGTTCCATCACTAGGCCTTTCTTCCTATTCTGTCTACCACTGAAGCCTCTTTGAGGCCAAAGGGAATGTTTAACTGCTTTGCCCTAGAGGCCGGAGTGGAGTATCAAGAGAGAAATTACGTTCATGAGCTCCCAACGTTCTCGTTTCAGCCTATTTCCGTCTGGCTTATAGGCACAGCAGCCAAAATGCACCCTCAATTCGCAGAAGAGTGTTTGTAACTAGCATGTGGGATGCTTAGGCTTGCAGGGAGTGGGAGGACAGGAGGGTTCTGAGCACATCTGGCACCCAGTGATAGAGATGGGCCACCTGGGAACGGGATGACTCTGGGACTATCAGACCCAGGAAAGGGTGCGCACCTTTACATTATAAATGGTACCTGGCCTGCTTGGTCTACTCATTGTTTTCTCTTGTGTGTCTGACAGGCTGAAGTGTGTGCTGGAACCGTGGCGGAGGTGATCCAGTCTGTGGTCAACGGGGCAGATGGCTGCGTGTTCTGCTTCGGTCATGCCAAGCTGGGTTAGTAAGAGTGGCACTTTGTCCCGCTGCTCGCTGGCTGCCCATGTGGCCCTACTCGTTCCTCTGTCTTGGTCCCAGGGGCCTCAGATGAAAGGGAGGATTACATTTCTTCTAGGTGCTGAATTAGATAGTCATGAATAACCCTTTCTGCTTGTGGAATGTAGGGGCTCACTGTAGGAAGAGCGATCCAGTTCAGAGATGAACAAAGGAATTGTAGCTTGTTTCTAGATAGTAAGGTCAAAGTCAAGCCCAGAAAGCAAGTGGGGACATGTAGCTAGTCCACAGGGGGATTGGGGGGGCAGGTAAGGCCCCTTTCCTCCCCAAGAGGATGAAGTTGGTAGAGAGAGTCAGCAGAGCCCCGAGGGGGGACCTACCTGCAGAAGGAGGTAGTGTGATGGCCGTCCCTTTTCCTCCGTGCTACAGGGCACACTCGGGGCTCACACATCTGTGAAAAGAGGCAGAGAAATACTTGTTTGTTTTACTGTTGTTGTTGTTTATTTCAACAGTTTTATTGATAGATTGACATGTGATTCACACATCCTACAATGGTTTAAACGTATTGAAGAGTTATGCGATCATTGTTACAATCCATTTTAATTTTCTTCTTTCCGGTACTTGTGATTAGCTCCCACTTCCTCCCCACCCTAAGAAACTATTCATCTAGTTACAGTCTCTATAGATTTACTCATCCAGAATTTCATATAAAGAAAAATATACAACAACAAAAAAAGCAAAGCAGAACAAACGAACAAAAGCGTGTGTGTTTGTTTTTTAAATAATTGGGGGGCACGTAAGGTGAACGTTTACATAGAAAATTAGTTTTGCCCCAGCCAATAATTCATACAGAAATTGTTCATGACACTGGCTTCAGTTCCCACCATGTGTCTGCATTCACCCCCTTCCTTTCCACTCTGGGTTCTTGGTTTCCGTGTCCCTCAAGGGCTTCTCATCTTGGCTTTGGGGTTAGTGTTGCCCTGCGGTCTCCTGTGGCTGCTCTTTCTAAGGAGCACTTTCCTCACATTGTTTGTCCTATAGCCTCATCTATTATGTGGCTGGAAGGTGGCCTCTGAAAGTTTCTTCAGTTTCAAATCCGAAAGGTTTCTCAAGGTAACAGTCTGAGAATCCTGAGTCTCTTTCCAACCAGTAAGTCTAGTCTTTTTTCTTTGCCTTTAATTTTTTTGTCACTTAAGCGATCGATGTCACAGGGAACAATCCCCATTTATGTTCATCTCATTCATTGTAAGCCCCCCTCCCCCTGCTGTTCCATCACGTATCCCTCTTCCCTGGATTTCCTGTTTCCATCTCTGACCTTTCTGAACACTGTCCTTGGGCAATGTACTTTCCATCTCCAATAGTTGCTATTCTAGGGTGTGCATGCCACACGAGTGTTATCGTTCTCCTTGGAGACCTGCCTGTTTGGCTGAAAATGGAGCCAGAAAGGGGAGTGCCCTTCCAGGCCTGACAGGAATGGACAACCATAGCCCTGAGGGCCTCACCAGTCGACCAGACCAATAACTGTCTTTATTCCAATTGTGAGTTTTCTTCCACATTTTTCTCCCACTGTACCCAGGTCTTTCTAGTATGAGCCTTTTCCGAGCAGTTGGCAGGGGTCCCAGGCACCTTCGGGTCCGCCTGCTCTCAGGGCTGTCGGGACTATGCGTCTTTCCTCTGGACAGGGAGGCCAAGGGTTGCGCTTCAGGGGGGCCAGGCATGAGCTTCGAAGCCCCTGCTCATGACTCCCCAAAGTAGGATGTAGAATGTCTTGGTGAACTTTGTCATGCCAGTCCCGCCTGGGGTGTCCCTCAAAACTGTGCTCCTGACCTCTTCCATCAAGGGAGTCTGGTTCTACCCAAGAAGTTTGAATAACTTTGTCCCTTGGATGCCTAGTATACGCATGGATATATTTTGAGTGAAAGTAAACACCCACGTACAGAGATCCTCTGTCAAACACATGCAGGCACTCCTGCGCTCCCTCCTACACCTGCTCAGCCTGCATGCCTCGCCGCGTCTGCTCAGAGGTGCTGGCGGGACTGTGCACGTACCAGGACGTACTTCTGTGGCCCGCACCTCTTACACTCCTCCCAGTGTCTTCCTCGGCTTTGCGGAAATCTTACTTATTTTTACGTTTTCCTGGTTTGTCTGCTTATACTTTGACTGTAATTTGAGTGAAAGCATGCAGAGCAAAGAAGTCATCCATTAAACAATTCATACGTGTTGTTGTTAATTGCAGTTCCCAAGATGTAACAGCCTCCAGCCCTCTTCCTCCTGGTTTCTGTGTCCACTCCTTTTTCTTTCTTTCCTGTTTTGAATCATTTTATCGGGGGCTCTTACAGCTCTTATAACACTCCATGCATCAATTGTATCAAGCACATTTGCACCTGTGTTGCCGTCATCATTTCTAAAACATTTCTGCTTGAGCCTTTGGTTCCAGTTCCTCTTTTCCTCCCTTCTTCCCCATCCTCCCACCCTCGTGTATCCTCAATCAATTATATGTTGTTTATGTGATTCCATATCTTATACAGTCCATTGTCTCCCTTCATCCACATTTCTGTTGTTTGTCCTCTTGGGGGTAGGGGTGGGGGATGCTATATATCCAACCGCATGATGGGTTCCCCCTTTTCCTCCTTCTTTCTTGACGCTCTCTGCCTTTGGAACAAATGTTGTCCTTTTCATCGCTAAGGAGTGCGTACTCTCCGGTGTTATTTGTCACCGTTACACTTGACTTTCATTCAGCTGAAAGTTGAGCCACAGGGGTCAGTGGAATTCCTGATTTGCAGGGTGAGTGGGGGACAGGTCCTCCCTGTCTCTGCTCAACCACTGAGCCTGATCTTTGTTATGATTTGAGTTTTGTTGCATATTTTCCTTCCCCTCTACTGTGTGACCTTCTATGGTGATCCGTTCAGTACAGTCAGCAGCGGTGGCCAGGCTCCATCTAGATCTTCTTGTCTCAGAGGCTGAGGTTTACACGGTTCTTTTGCCTTTTGGACCAGGTGTATCCATGTGTCTTTGATTTTCTTCATTGTTACCTGCTCTAGATGAGGAGAGACCCATAGTTGCACCAGAGATGGCTGCTAACAAACTTTTAAGGCCCAGTCACGACCCACCAAAACGGGATTTAGAACGATGTATTTGTGGACAGACTGTTATGTCAGTTGACCTTGATGTCCCCTGAGCGTGTAGCCCGGAGCCTCTAGGCCCACCAACTCATCCCTCAAGGTGTCTGGTTATGCCTAAGAAGTTTTCATAACTTTGCCCCCTGTCTGCTATCCTATATTCATGGTTATTTGAAGGACTTCAAAAAGTTTGTGGGAAAACTCCATTATTTTTCATTTCATTTTTTTCCCATAAACTTGTTGAAGCCCCCATGCTTGTGCAGCTATATATGTGTATTTATATTTCCAAATGTCACATATCTAATCTATGCAATGAGGATCAGTAAAATAGTATTGTTCTAAGATTAGAGAAACCTTTAGTAAACAGCAATATCAAAATGTGAAGCTATTGTTTCTTGATAGATCCTCTATCTGGGTCTATACACTTCTGAAGGCAGCATTTCCATCTTTTTAACCTTTCTCGGCAGCATCCTAAATTCTTCAAGTTACACCATGGTAAAACGGAAGTTTCTACATCCTCTGTCCCTGGAATTTAACACTTGGCCAGTGGATCTCCTAAGATGTCTTGAATGACCTTTTTTTTTTTTTTTAAGGCATCCTAACAAGACTAAGACAAGTGCATTACTGAGATCCTGAGAGAACTTATCACAGAGTCATGTTTAAACACATTTTGTTTGGGATAAACCTAGGCAAGTGTCAACTGGACCCCTCATGGAAATGCATTTTGACTTACCCCAGTTTACTTGGTAGCGGAATTTCCAGGTCATAAGGTATATCTATTTCCAACTCTTTAGGGAAGTTCAATACCTCTTGCCACAGTGGTCGTAACAGTTTACATTTGCACTTTCAATGTCTGAGGGCTCTCGTCTCCCCACAGCCTCGCCATCATAGTTGGTTTCAAGTTTTTTTAGCTTTGCTATTCGTGTTGGGATGAGATGATATCTCACTTTTTTTCTTTGATTTGTAACTCTGTCGTGCCTGTTGTTTGGGAGCCTATCTTCATGTGTTTGTCAGTCACGACATGTAAAATCATAGGTAAAATCTCCAGTTATGTTCCTTTGCTCATTTCTAAATTAGATTACTTGTCTTTTTTCTGTTGAGGTTTTGAAATTTTCTGTACATTTTCGGGATCGTCTAATACATTGTTGCCACAAGTTGTTCCTTTTACTTTCATATTCTGTAGACGTTCTTCTTGTCCTTTGTAAAATCTTATGATGCACATACATACGTGTTTGATTAAACTTGTCCGGTTTGTCTTCTTCTGTTTGTGCATTTTCAGATATGTTTATAGTGTATTTATGCCATGTATTGGAGACCCTAAATTGGTTTCTATTTTTCTTTGGTGAGCTTTATGGATTTAGGTCTCACATTCCGTTCTTTGATTCATCTTGAGTGTTTGTAGACAGCGAGAGAGAGCAATTCTCTTCCTTTCTTCTGCAAAGGGGCATCCAGCATCATTTTTGTCAGCACCATTTGTTAAACAGACAATCCTCCATGTTACAGGTTTCCACCCTTTGTCAAGGATCAACTATCCAAAAGTGGACAGTTTCTATATCCATAGCTCTGTTCTGCTGGTCTAGGTATCTTTCTTTGCCAAACGAAACGTCTCTCATCAGTGACAGACATATCTTCTTTGCCTACCACAGCTATGGAATAGGTTTTAAAATCTGGAAGTGCCGCTTACTTCGTGCTTCTATAATGATTTTCTTATCTGGACTCTCTTTTCCACGAAAAGTTGGTGATTGTTTTTCTATCTCTTTAAAGAATGATACTGGACTCCAGATGAAAATTACCTTATATCTATAGATTCCTTTGAGTCATATTGAGATTTACACAATGTTAAATATGTAACATTTTTCCCCATTATGTAGGTCAGTTCTTCTATTTATGTAGGTATATTTGAGTTTCTTGTAGTGCTGTTTTGTTGTTTTATTTATATATCTTTTAAATCTCTCTTTAGATGTTGGCTATCGTTTTTGTGTATATGCCCTTATTCATGTTGAAGCATTTTTCTTCTGTTCCTGTTTTGTTCGGTGTTTTTATATCAGGAATGGGTATTTATTGGATTTTGTCAAATGCCTTTTCTGTAACAATTGATAGGATTATATAGGTCATTTCCTTTATTTATGTGGTGACTTGCAACGATTGCTTTTCTAATGTTGAATTATCTGCATATGTGGTACGAATCCTTTTTGGTCAACATTGTTTTGATTTTTCATTGTGTTCTAGTGGCAAGGATTTCGTTGAGAATTTTTACGTCTATGTTCACGTAGGACGTTGGTGTACAATTTCCTTTTTGTTAGTATCTTTCCCTGGTTTGGGAATCAGAGTTATGCTTATTTCATAAAATTAGTTCAGAGGTATGTCATCCTTTTCCATCTTATGGAATGGTTTGAATAGAGTCGATGTCAACCCTTCTGAGAGTTTGGTACACAATTTGCTAGTGAAGCCACATGGATCAGGATTTGGAGGGGGTGGGGTGAGGGTAGGATTTTTATGTGGACTTTGAATTTTGTTTTGCTTCCTTTTTAATCATTCTCACGAGGTTCTTCCACGGTGTTCTCGGTCAGGGTGGTTGGTAGTGGTGAGCAGCACTGCTAGTGCTTCTGGTATCTGACCAGAGGAGGCTGTGATTCACACGGAGCACTAGTCCTTGGCACGAATGGCTTCAGGATAGCTTTGGTTTTCTTCATTCTTTTCTGCTCCAGGTGGGACGAGACCAAGAGTTGCTTCTTAGATGACTGCTTGCAAACTTGTAGGACCTCGGACGCTACTCACCAGACTGTGATGATTATCTTTATGAACTGTTTGCCAATTGACCTAGATGTCTCAAGACTCTGGCCGTTAGCCTTTAGGTTCAGTGGCTCAGACCTGATAAGTAGTTTCCCTAACTGTGATCTCTGTATGCTAATCTATATGAGCATACGTACAACATTTGTGAATATGTATGTAGAAATATCTACCAGTATACTTACAAGAGTAAGTAAGAAAGGATTGGTACCAGGGTTCCAATTCACAGATGCACGGGGTTTGTTCTAAACAGAGCATGTTTAAGCCTGTCTCTGCTGCCAATGAATGGCTGCAGACAGTTTCTCTCAGTAATGTACTTGTTTTAGTCTTGTTGGTGTGCCTTCAAAAAACCACTAAAAACAAAGCCTTGGGTGATGATCAGCCAGCTCAAAGAGTAGATCTGCCCATCAGTCTTTCAAGCAACATCAAAACTGATGTCTTTCAAGCAAGAGCAAACTGATATATGGGACAAATCTAACTGGGACAAGTCTTGAACTTGCCAATATGATCCAAAAAACATTAGGGTTAGGGGAAAAAAATGATCCCCAAAGCAAGTGTGACTTCCAATCAAAAATGACTTCCAAGGGGACTGATCAGGCCAGTTAAATTCCAGGAGAAAGGTCCACTCAGAAGATTACAGCAAATGGTGGGTCTGTTGTTGTTGTTGTTATTTTTGAGGTTCCAAAAGGGTGATCTTGATAGATTTTCTTGAAAGACACAGGCCAACTACGGGGGCTTATTAAGAAGTTTTAAGATAACTGACAGCAGCATGGGTGAGAAAAAGATCAGGAAAGTTGATCCAAGGAGTTCTCTCCCTACCCCCAACCCCCAACAGTGTTGCTGCTCATTCTTTGAGGGCAGCAAAGAACATCACCCAGAAACCCTCTGCCCTTTGACCCTCCAGACTACATCTTGCTCCTTCAGATTCATTTTTGCTTCAAAATGTAAAGCACATTGAAAAGTGACCCTTGTGGATGTCAAAGCTGCCGTTTTAACACGGTGTAAATCAAAGCTGCAGAATTCTTTGGGGAAGAGTTAAAAGGGATGGAACTACCCTGTTTCCCCCCCAAAAAGACAGTGTCTTATATTAATTTTTGCTCCCAAAGATGCGCTATTTTTGCTCTCAAAGATGCTCCCAAAAATGTCTTATTTTCTGGGGATGTCTTATTTTTCCATGAAGAAGAATATGGTACACATTTATTGTTTTATTAAAAGAGATCTCGCACTTCCTGTCTGCTTTGGCTGTGCTGCGGCCAACAGTGAGCTGCGCAGCAGTACCGCTGCTGCAGTCCAGAGTCCAGAGTTACAGTAACTTCAGGGGGCCTTATTTTCTGGGAGGTCTTATTTTCAGGGGGATGCCTTATATTTCAGTGAGAGGCAAAACTGTAAGTAGGTCTTACTTTCGGGGAAACAATAATTACCTTCAGAAGTATATAAACCTAGACGGAAGATATGCAGAAAGACAACAGCTTCACTTTTGGGTAGTTTTGTCTAATAAAGGTTTCCTGGGACTTTGTAATGATGCTTTTTAACTTACCCTTGTATAAATATATGTAAGGCTGTACTCTTCTATGACCTCCCGAGCCTATTTAGCATATGTATTTACAGGTACCCGCTCATAGAGTGTTGCTAGTCCTCACAGCTGTTGTGGGACAGTCTAGGTTAGCCAGTTTTCTGTAGCTGTGTTATTCTTGGCTGCTTGTCAGGGTCTTCTTTTGCCTTGGCCATGTTGTGCGGCCTCCCCCCATCTTAAGCATTGCCTTTCCTTTCACCAGAATGATCTCTTATGTATTATTTAGTTGGTTAAATTCTTCCCCTCTTCCTTCCCTGGCAACCAGCAAAGAATACGTATTTCTGTGTGCAAACCCGTTGTTGGCTTTGTATGAGTGCTCTCATATGCGCCCTTGTGTTTGACGTATTGTCCTCTGCATAGTACCCTGCAGATTCATCTGTGTTGTCAGACGTCGCATCGGTTCAGCATCGCTCTCTCTCATGGCCTGGCATTCCACTGGATGTGGGTACCAGTTTGTCCATTTACCCATCAAGGGGCGCTGGCTTTGTTTCCATCTCCTGGGTACTGTGAACGATGCTGCGATGAGCATGCGTGCACACGTGTTTCGTCATGAGGAGGACTTCCATAGGGCGTGAAAAATCCCATTCGCTTTCCATTTCGTTTTTTTCTGTGAACTTTATGAAGTCCCCTCATATTTCTCTGGGCTCCGTACCTATATGACTGCTGGGCCATATCCTATTTCATTTTCTCGCTTTGTAAGGAAGCAGCGTGCTCGTCTCCACAGTGGCTACACACGTCTGCAGCCCCGTCAGCAGTGTCCACGAGGTCCCATCGGGGTCTCGATGACTCATCCCCTGTAGTGCTTCTCATGCCTCACCTCTGGCTGTCTGCTCGTCAGGTCCCACTTGATGGGCAGGTTCAGTTAGTCCTGGGAAGAGCTCCATAGAGTACCCCTTGGGGAAGCGATAGAGGCCACTGTGAGGCCAGGACAGAACGTCCATTTCATCTCACGGCCACCTCTGCCTCCCTCAGCCCATCTGTGATCAAAGCGGTGATCCAGATTTTAATGGAAGTTGCTCATGCTATAAAAATATACACCGCATTTAACGTGAGAAAGGATATAAAGTGTAAGTATGTGAAGTTAACCTGTGGGGCTGCTATAAAAAATATCTGTAATCATGATGAAAGGCCCCTGCCTTTTCACTGGGTGTAGAGCAGCCATAGCCGCTGCAGCGCTCGCATCCGTCCGGGATCCTCCGAAAGGTAAACCGGCACTTAATTGTGTCCTCAGCCTGGGCTCTCACGTTCTTTATGATAGCTGTTTTAATCAGTAGTCGCAGAGGTGATCTTTGCTGCTGCTGCTGCTGTTGTTCATGCTTGCTCTTTCTCTCACATTTGCATTGCTTTTTTCCCTTCTTCCCCATGCGTTTATTCAGCACCCTCTGGATCTGTTTTAAAAATATTTATATAGCACAATATGTGCCGATTTAACGTTTGCACATGGACGAGTGAGGGATAGCAATTCCATTAATCACGTTGTTCAACCATGACCAATAGCCACTGTCAAAGTTTCCATCACTGTGAACTGAAACGCTGTGCTTCCTGAACAATGATTCTGCCCTCTGCCAGCTCCCTCTTGCCCTGGGTAACCACTAAGAAGATTTGATCTTTATAGATACGCCTAGTGTAGATATTTCATATGACTGCGTACCCCCACCCCGACCCCAGCACCTGACTGAGGACACACAGCCTGATACTTTCAAGGTCCATCCACGTTGAGCACATATCGGGACTTCATTGCTCCTTAGGACTAATAGTCGATGGTGCCTCCGCATCACCTGTGTTTATCCATCCTCCTGTGGGTGGGCGTTTAGGTTGTCTCTGCCCTGTGTTTTGCCTCCATTTTTTGAGATTCTACGAAACAGCTGGGGCCTGAACACTCACATGGCTTCCCTGTCTTCTTTCTCCCCCCCACCCCACCCCAGGAAAATCCTACACCATGATTGGAAAAGATGATTCCATGCAGAGCCTCGGCATCATCCCCTGTGCTATCTCGTGGCTCTTCAAGCTCATCAATGAACGGAAGGAAAAGACCGGAGCCCGTTTCTCAGTCCGCATCTCAGCAGTGGAGGTGTCGGGGAAACAGGAGACCCTTCGGGACCTGCTGTCTGAGGTGGCCACGGGCAGCCTGCAGGACGGCCAGTCCCCTGGGGTGTACCTCTGCGAGGACCCCATCTGTGGCATGCAGGTGATTGACCAGAGAGCTCAGCTGACCCCCTGGGTCGCTCCCCCTTTGTCATGGGAGCCTGTGGCAGTTCAGCCCGTGAATCACTCGGCATGTAAACTGGGCGGCTTACAAATGTTTACTTTACAGTGGACTGGAACTTCGTGGCCTGCAGCTGCGGGGCCATCTGCTCGCCCAGCCTAAATATTTGTACCTTGAATCTAATTGACAATAAGCAGGAACCACAATTGTTGTAACATTTGGAGCGGGGGTGGGAGGGAGGAGGATTTAATTCACTTTCTTTACACCCCTTAAAAAAAAAAAAAGCACAATCTTTCTTTTGTTTAACAACGAACTGAAATATTTACTGCTCCACACAAATAGTTCCAACCATTACTGTGGCTGTTTATAGCTCTATAAACTGTGTTTCTGGCACTGGGTTACAGCTGGATTAGTAGTGCTGTAGGAAAAACTAATAACCACTTTCTAATTAGAACCAGGATGTAATTGCTAGCACTATGGAAGCCAAGAGAAACTCCAGTCCACATCTTAGGGCTGCCATGCCCCTGAAGAGGGTTTCGCCTTTGCTGTTAGTTACTAAGCTCCCTAGTTCATGTCCAGAATAATCCGTTCGTTTGATCGCTAGCACCAGGTTTTAATTTCGTGTGTTCTCAGAAGCTTCATTTTGCTTTTTTAGACAAGTGCTGAGTGTTGTAGAAATCCTTAGATTGCTGCAAGTGGTCGATGCGCTTGGCTGCTAACCAAGAGATTGCAAGTGTGTGCCTGTCCCGAGGTGCCAAGGAAGAAAGGCCTGGCCACCTACATCTGAACAATCCACCACTGAAATTCCTGTGCAGAACAGTACTCTGAGGGGACCTAAAAAAATCCCATGATCTTTCAATTCCTTTTTTCTCCCCCCGCAAACTTTTTGGAGCACCCTTGAATTCTGAGCCTCGGAGTCGCCATACTCTGGAGCGGACTTGATGGCAACTGTGTGTGTTCTTTGCTTTTATTATGGTTCAGCTTGATTAAGTCCCCACCTTATCCCAAGTGGGATTGCTTCCGGGTGAGGATACCGAGTTCTCTCTATTATCCCCACCTGCTGAAACCTGATGCTGGCAGTCCCCCTGGAGGTACCTCAGTCGTTGCCAGCAAGTCAATTCCAAGTCATAGGGACCCCCGAGGACAGGGTAGAGCTGCCCCTGTGGGCTTTGGAGACAGCTTCATCTTTCCCTAGTGGGCAGCTGATGGGTTCATTGTATTTGATGTACCTCACATCCTTCCATTTCCATTCCGAAGCGCTCGTTTTATGATTTTCAAAGCTCTGTAGAAGCACTGGGCTCCTGACAGAAAGGTTGGAGATTCAACCCCACCAGCTGTTCCTTGGGGAAAAGATGAGACTATCTGTTCCTGTAAAGATGTAAAGCCTTGAAAACCCTATGCAGGGTTGCTATGAGTCAGGTGCAATGTGGTGGTTGTGGATTTGAGCATTGACATTGTAAAGGAGTAAAAACATGCGTTACTCATTAGGTGTGCTCTGTATTAAATTTCATAATCCTTAAAGCTGAGAATTGCACGTGGGTACAGCGGCCTTGATCCAGAAGACTTTCAGGCTGAGAGAATGAGTGGGCCTCTACTCCGCAGAGTCCAGGCAGCTGCACAGACCATGACCATGTGGCATGCCCTCGCCTGCCTGCAGCTTCAGCTCTTAGCTTTTGTCTTCCAGCTGCAGAACCAGAGCGAGCTGCGTGCCCCCACCGCAGAGAAGGCCGCCTTCTTCCTGGATGCCGCAATCGCCTCCCGCAGGAGCCACCAGCAGGACTGGGATGAGGATGACCACCGCAACTCCCACATGCTTTTCACCCTGCACATCTACCAGTACCGGATGGAGAAGAGTGGGAAAGGTGGAAGTAAGTCAGCCTTACTTCTCTTGATCAGCTCCCAGTCCCCATTGAGGGCAGTCTAGATCAGGGACTTTCAAAGGTTGGTGGTTCAAGTCTACCCAGAGAAGCCTCCAAAGAAAGATCTAGCAACCTAATTCCATCAATTAGCCATGGCAAACCCTCTGGAGCCCAATTCTACTCTGACATGCATGGGCTCATCATGCACTGGTGTTCAACTTGACAGTAACTGGCAGTTCAAGACAACTGCACAGCATCTGGGCTAAAGTATCTTTTTTGAACTGCTCAAGATATAAGGGTTTGCTTTTAAACATAATTCATAATTATGTTATGGTATAGCCATGGGAACTTTCAGAAAACAAACTTTTTCAAAAGGCGCTTCATAGCCATATTTTTGTTCACAACCCTTTAACTTACCCCTGCCACCAACTAAGCCCTTGACCCCCCATTCTTCCCTGTCCCCAGTCCTTTTCAGACCCCAGCAGAGGGCAAGGACTAGGCCTGGTCTGAACAGTGTAGAGTGTATGTTACTGGGTAATGTTTTACAAATATAAAGGTCATGGTTTGTTTTCTTTACGTCTACTCAAAGTGGCTGACTCAGGGTAACCTCAGGACAGAAAAGAAGTTACTTCCTAGGGAGGAAGATGAAGATTTACCACCTCGGGAGACCCTCAGGAGCAGTTCTACCCCACCCTGTAGGGTCACTGTGAGTCAGAATTGAGTTGGTGGCACTTATTTGGGTTTGGTTTGAGGTTTTTCGAGGTTGTAAATCTTTGTGGAAGGAGATGACGCACCTCTCTCCCACAGGTTTTCATCACAAAAGGTCGGCATTTGTCCACCAAAGCACCTTGGCAATATGTTATTAACCATTAGCATGAGTCACTACATGGGCCTGGGAGAAACAATGTATGTTATTGCAAACTACTCTATAAATCAGTCTTGTGGATCTCTCCTCAGATAATGCCAGTCAGTAAAGGTTCACTGCAAAACCCCAGACACAGTCCCTTCTGTGTGTGCGAGCCGCACTGCCAGAAACCTAAAGTTAGCTTTACAGCCCCCACCCCCTTGATGAGTCTTTCCAGGTCTGCTGACCTTGATACACTGCTCTATACTTTGTCTTTTAAGGAATGCATGCACTCTGACCTCAACACAATCAATTGCCAGTTCTCAGTGTCGGGTGGGGCTCTTGAACCATGGGCAGAGTGGTCCATTGATCTCATTGGGCTTTCTAAGGATAGTTACGACCACAGGACTGTCTAGGCCAGGCGAAGCTTCTATGGTTTCTCAATGTAGATCTCGCCAGCACTTTTGAAACATAGGCAACTCACCCCCAGAACTGTCTGAATGCCCCATGGACACTGAATACCACAGGGGGGAAAAATAATGTTGAAGGTATGAGACTAGCCTGGTCTCTAGTCTAAGTCTAGTTGGAATTAAGTCTTCCATCCAACTGGAATCTGCAGAGAGGTGTTATAAGCACCCCCACAGCCCCCAAGTCTGCTGGTTGCCACAAAGACTCTCATGCTAACCAGTTCCAAACCATAGCTTTCAGAGAGTTCTGTTGCCCCAAGTGGGAGCTCTCTCTCTCCTTCATACCATGTCCCTGTTCATCCAATCTCTGCCATTCTCCAAATCTTTCATGCTTTGTTGTTCATTGAGGTCTAATTTCCTTTCAATAAAAGCAACCTGTTTTTTTAGAGGTGGTTAGATGAGTTTTAACCAGGGCTTCAATTTCTCGCCTAAGAATTGGCCTTTCCACCCCAGATATGCTGAATCAGAATCAACATTTTTAAAAGATTCTCAGATTCTTATCGATCCTTGTCCAAATGTAGATGCGATTCAATGTAACTGTGGTGGAAAGGCAAATTCCCAGCAGGGAATCAAACTGGAAGGGACCAGTTCTGAGCCCTGCTTTTGGCAAATCTCAACAGTTGTGTTACCACCACCACCAAGAAACAGAATGATGCTGTCACTACCTACACTTCCCTCTTGCCCTTTGTAGTCCTGTCCCCACCTGTATCCCCTGGCAATCACTGCTCTGATTTCTGTCTTAGAGTTTTGCCTTTATCCTGAATACCATACAAATGGAGTCATACAGCATGTAGCCCTCTGTGTTTAGCCTCTTTAATTTCTCTTAGTGCATGGAGTTCATTCATGTTGCTACATGTCTCAGCCATTAGCTTTTTTTGTGTGTGTGCTGCCTACTTTCTTAGCTTTAACTGTACCTAGTGACTCCCTCAACCCCCAAGATTAAACTTTTATCATGTAGCTTGGTCTGGGGCTAAAATGCCACTATGTAAGGCTGGCTTTTAAGGCTCTATCCACCTTGATCTACCAGCAATGGCTGCTGCATAAGGAATCCAGAGATGTTGGCCAGCACTTGCAGCACACTGGGCGGGGGCCTAGCCATTGTACCACCAGCAGGAGACCTACTCCTTTGAAAACCAGTGAGGAGATGACAAGTCTGAAGGGATGAGCAAGATACCTTGCATGGAAACCCTTCGGAGTAGATTGATTCTCAGTCAAGGGCTCACAGTACATATATCACTTCCCGCTGGAGTAACATTCTTTGTGAAAGAAACAAAGGAATGAGACAATCCAGACCTTTAAAAATAGTAACAGAGCTTATCTACTTTTCTTTTAAGATCTGTGGGCTGGTTGTAAATTTTTTTCCCCCTGGATAATGTCTTAGCAATGTGAATGTGGAAATCTGAAAAATGTTACTTTATTATTTTAGACAGCTGTAAACAATAACAATAATCAGAGCCGACAGTGGATTCTCAGACTTTTAACCAAGGATGACTCAACAGAAGACCAGACTCCAAATGACACTGAGCAGAGAAACTTAGGAGATGGGTTAATCTCCTCTTCCTAGGTTTCAAATCAAGCTGAAAAGAGCTTTGCTTTCTGTTGGGTTTGTGTTTGTTTGTTTGTTTGTTCCCCCCCATTTCTTCATCATGGATCTGCTTTCAGCTTGGAACCTAGAAGTAGGCAGAAAACTTGAAGACAAACGGACAATGAAATTACTTCAGCAGAACAAAGCATCGCTCAGCCCCGAGCCACGTGTGAGCCACTGTGTCAATACATCTGGATGAGACCTCCCTCTTTTTTGTTGACCTTATACTTTACCAAGCAGGATGTCTTGCTCCAAGTACCAGTCTGTCGTGACGACTTGTCCAAAGTGTGTGAGCTGAAACCTTGCCAACCTCACTCCTCAGAAGCATTCCGTCTCCATGTCTCCCAAGATTTTCTCCTTCTCCCGGCAGTCTGTGATAGATTCAATAGTCTTCTCTCGCACCGTAATTCAAAGACCGTAGTTCTTCTTGGGTCTTCCCTGGCCATCGTCCAGCTTTTGCATGCATCTCGGGTGACTGAAAACACCACAGCTTGGGGCAGGGGCACCTTCATTCTTAATTTGACATCTTTGCTCTTTAACTTTAAAGAGCTATTTTGCAGCAGATGTGCCCATGCAGTTTGCCATCCAATTGTTTGACTGCTGCTTCCATGAGTGTTGATTGTGGATCCAAGTTAAATGCAATCCTTGACCACTTTAATCTTTTCTCCATTTATCATGATATTGCGTATTAATTCTGGTGTGAGGACTTTGTTTCCTTTAGGTTGAGAAGAAGTCCATACTGCGGGTTGCTGTCTTTCATCTTCGTTAGTCAGTGCTCCGGGCCTCTTTGATTTCAGTAAGCGAGGCGGTGGCATCTGTATATCCCAGGCTGTTAATTAGCCTTCATCCAATCCTGATGCCAACCTCTATACAGAATTCAACTTCTCGGATTATTTGCTCAGCATACAGATTGAATAAGCATGGTGAAAAATACAACCCTGACACACACCTTTTCAGATTTTAAACTATGCACTATCTCTGGTTCTGTTCTGTCGACTGCCTCTTGGTCTGTGGATAGGTTCTGCATGAGTATAATTACGTATTTTTTAATTCCCATTCAGTTTTAAGAACTTGAGACCCAGCTTGCAGAAAATTACGATAGGGAGCGCTCTTATCTACCCCACCAAAATTCTCAGTGGATCTTGGGCATTTATTAAATATGTAACATTGAATTCATCTTCTTGTCCTAAGATTATGATGGAGATTTGTTTTTAAATCATCAACTCAGGTTAAAGTAATAAGACATCCACCAATGATGCCTAAGACTTTTAAGGTACTTTGAAATGTAGCAATGGATGAGAACAAAGAAGGGACAAAAGTCCAGCCTGTAGGGGACACCAAAACCAACCCTGTGGCCATCGTGTTGTTTCTGACCTAGCGACCCTATAGAACAGAGTAGAACTGTCCCCCTGGGTTTCCAAGGCTACAATTTTCATGGAAGTGCCACCTCTTCTCCCAGGGAACAGCTGATGGCTTCCGACTCTGAGTTAGCAGCCCAGTGCTTCACCACTGCACCCCCAAAATATCAGGGTGCTATCTGCTTGCCCTGGTACTGCTGCTCCAGGACAGGAAAGGAACTGGAACCAGGACGTGCACTGCTTCCCAGCCCGTGGCCTCTGTGACTTCAGTGCGTTCATATCTGCTTTAGACACAAGGTATAATCAGCAGGTTTGGAGTGTCGTTTAAAATGGAAATGTTGTTTACTTATCTAAGTAATCATTCCCGTGGACCTGGCAGCCAAAACTCAATTAAGAGTACATTTATTAATTAGTTACCCTGCAGAGAAGCAGGCAGCAGAGCACATGCAGTTACTTGGCCACTAAAAACTTAGATGATCAATTCCAAGAGCCCTCTGCTGCGAGAACTAAGCCCACTGGGAGTGGAAATGCATCGGGACTGTATCCCCATCTATGCATTTTACACACGCTTGTACACATAGATAGACAGACAGATAAATGTTTTTAAACATTTTCAGTAACACAGGAAATATTCAAAATAGGAAAAGAAAAATTTAAGCTTTGGGTAGTTTCCTGGTTTAGAGGGTTTTTGTTACTTTTTAACCCCATCTAGTTGATCCCACCTCATGGTGACACGTGTGTGTCTGAATAGAACT